TAGCAAATGGGTTTATCTAAGGTTGCTGAAAACAAAAAGTATGATGTTATATCAACAAATTCAACAACCATACATCTTTAGCAATTTTAATATCTTTTCATATCAATAATCAAGAATTCTAATTTTCTTATCTAAGGTTAGTAAAAAAAAACCTTATAGGTTATTAAAAAGGCTATGATACTATCAACAAAAATTAAGTAATTATAAATCCGTTGTAACTTTTTTTTTGAAAGAAAAATACTGTAATTTTCATTTATATAAATAAAATTACAAAATAGTAACTAGAAATTACAATAGGTTGAAAAAAGTATTCATCTCTCGCGTTTAGATCTTGATCTCGATTCACAACCCGAGACATCTTGATGATTTGGGGCCTCAAACCTTCTTCATAAGTCTCTAGCACGTGCGACACCTCTTCGCTCTCATTTCTGTGTAATTTAATCAACAGAAAACTTTCAAAAGCGACACAAAGGTGAGTGATTCGAGAACTCCCTTGATTAACCCGCAGATCATAAAGTAAAATCATATCAAAACTAAGACGAAACTGTCTTCAATCTATGTAAACTCGGAGACACACTAAGTGTGACTAACTGACTGACTCAAACTCAACAAACTGACTCAAAAAGCTCAACTAACCCAACAGATCTATAGATCTGGGGAGATTATTCTAAACAAAGGAAAAAAAAAACAATAAAATCAACCTCCTCCTCCCCTTGAATGCTCAAGAGGAGGAGTATACAAAAAACTTGGAAAAAAACTAAGAACTTGAGAGAGAAAAAAAATAAGTCGTTAAACTTTGATTTACATTCAATTGGATAAATCCGTTGTAACTTAAGTGGCTTTTCCTTAATAATTAAGGTTACTAATTCTCTTATCTAAAGTTACTAAAAATGATGCAGTGATTATTCTAAAAAGTATATAATTATCCTTTTTTTGCCAAAAAAGTATATTATTATATGCTAACTCAATAATCTTACATTTAGTTACCATTTTTTTTATCTAAGTTTACTTAAAAGGTTATAAGACATTATGAAAAATGTATTTTATACTATCAAGAAATAAGTTACCTTACAACCTTAATAAGTTTAGTAACTTTTTATCAATAATGACCAATTTAATATTTAAATTTACTAAAAAAGCTACTAAAATTGTTGTGATACTATCAATAAAATTAGCAACTTTACATTCTTAGTAATTTTAATGGCCATTTTTTTTTGGCCAGAAATTTTAATGGCCATTCAATATCAATAATTAAGGTTGCCAATTTTCTTATTTAGTTATGATTACTAAAAAAACAAATAGAAGTTATCAAAACAATTAAGGTTATTAATAAATTCAATAACCTTATATTTTTATTAACTTTGGTAAATTTTCTTCAATGTTGAAGGTAATCTTTTTTTTAGCTAAGGGTAGGAAAAATAAACAATAATTATAAAAATAGTCAAGGACTATCAACTCATTCAATAACCTTACATTCTTAGTAATTTTAGTTATCAAATTTCTTATTTATGTTTAATAAAAACCTTAACTATAGTATTATTAAATTCACAAAAGTTATAATGTATAATTGAAGAGATATTATAAGAAAATTTATTGAGTTTAATTTATTCATACATGGATGGATGGTTAGTTAAAATCGTTATAGATTTAGGAAATTAATTTTATTATTTTATTGTACATGTATATGGAGTAGGATATTCTTTGTTCTGTTGATCTTTCACGAAAATTTTACACAATTGTTATTGTTGTCATTCTAATCTCATAACCTTACGCCAGCTCTTAATTCTACGTCATATCAATCTTTGAATGCTCCCTTGATGAAAAGAGCAATTATAATACTTCACAAACTAACATGTATAAAAGGGAAAATTGATAAAATAGGGAAGAGTAAATTGTACAAATAATCTAGGTATATCAGTGAATAAATATTGATTCTTTTTCTTTTCTTTTTTTACATCAAGATAATAAATTAAGGGTGATTATATGATACACCGGCGGTGTAAATTTTGGACTCCACAAGCGGGTTGTGGAGTTGACACATGTCTATTTTTTGAATTATTTAAGTTTTAAATATTTCAATCTAGTCCCTAAGGGACACATGTCACCCTTCAGGACCCGCTTGTGTAGTCTGCTAAACTCCACCGCCGGTGTATCATATATAAACCCATAAATTAATTCTTGATTAAAAAAAATAGCGAGGCAAGTTCATTTGCTAAGGGAGGAGTTGATAGATCTGGTCCTTTTGTTCAAGTTTTCATTTAGTTTTCTTTGTATTTGTTGTAAACTCCTCTTATTTTTATTTATTCAATAAACTTCCTTCTTTTCAAAAAAAAAAAAAATTGTTATAGTGTTATCTACAGTAACCTTATATCCTTACTTTTTAGTCACCAATATTTTTATCTAAGATTTTTAAAAAGGCTATAAAGGTTATAAAAAAGGCATGATGCTATCAACATATTCAAGTACTTTATATATCTAGCAATATTAATAACTTTTATCTTATATTACTAATTAATGTTACCAATTTTCTTATATTATTTATTACAAAACATATTTTAAATAAAATATCAAAAATCCATCGGTAAATTTTGCAACCTTACATTCTTGGTAATTTTAGTAGGTTTTCATCAATAATAATGAAAGTTAAAAATTTTCTTATCTAAAGTTAGTCAAAAAGTTTTAAAGGTTATTAAAAATGTGATAATGCTATTAACAAATCAAGTAAACTTAAATTTTTAGTGACTTAAGTGACCTTCATGAATAATGAAGTTTACCAACTCTTTAATCTAAACTTACTAAAAAAAGTTGCAATGGTTATCTATAAATATATTATTTACCAACTAATTTAAGAACCTTACATTGGCAAGTTGAAACAAAAATTAAAATTGATATTTCACTATTACTCTACCAAATTAATGAATAATCAAATGTGATCTAAAATAACATAGAATAAAAGTAATGAATGGATGATCTAATATTAACCTTCAAATGAAAGTATAATTTTTCCAAAAACAAAAGAAATTGAATTGAAATTCTTTCTTAACCAGCCTAGCTAATTTATTAAATATTAAATTCAATTTTACTGTGAAGCAATTGCTTACAAGTCTTAACAATGTTGCTATTGCTGGAAAACAATGCTCATTCAAGATAGACTTTATCACAACTTTTTATCTACGGTTAAATTGGTAGTAGTTATGTTCAATTTTGCTTGCTCCTTTAAATTATGCCGAAAAATGAGTTAAATTGTATTTTGGGATTTCAATTATACTTGGTGACAATAATTTTAACTTTATTTTTATCTTTGATACATATGTGCATAATACTTCATCACTTCATAAATTTATATTTATGTGTGTAGAATATTTTAAGGTTAACATGAAATCTATTGAGGTTATCATCAATAAATTTATTATACGCATGTGGTATATAATAGTACAATAATTAAAGTTACCAATCTTACTATATAAGGTTATACAAAATGGTATAATTTTATCAATAGTTTCAATATCTTGCAAAAAAAAAAAGTTTCAATAACATTACATCCTTAAAAATGTTATTATAGTTCGTTTTTGTCAATAATAATTTGAGGCTATCAAACATCTATAGAGGTGTTATAATGAAAAAAATCAGTAAACTTACATGCTTAGTAAGTTTTGTAAGCTTAGTAGCTAAAAAAAAAAAAAGTTTTGTAAGCTTTCATTTAAATGAAGAAGGTTATACCAATTTTCTTATTCAAGGTTACCATTCTTATTATTCAAGTTTACTAAATAAAACTGCAATGGCTAACAAAAAGATTGAGATGCTAACTATTAGCTAATTTAATTTGTAACCCTACATTACTAATTAATTTTCTTATATAATAAGATTATTAAAAAATGTAAGGTTATCAAGAAATTAAGATGCTATCAACAAATTTAATAATGATATGAATCCTTAATAAAATTATGTACATTTCATCAATAAAGAGGCTATTGGTTTTCTTATTAAAATTTATATTAAAAAAACTATTTTGTTATCAAAGAAGTTATGATATTAGCTGCAAATTAAGTAATCTTATACCTTAGTAATTTTAGAAGCATTTTTTTTATTAATGACGGGTCAATAACCAAAAATATTATATATATATATATATATAGGTTATGAAAAAAAATGTTAGAGTGTTATAGAAAAAAAAGTTCAGCAACCTTAAATCCTTGATAAATTAGCAACTTTACATTCTTAGTAATTTTAATGGCCTTTCAATATCAATAATTAAGGTTACCAATTTTCTTATTTTGTTATGATTACTAAAAAAACAATTAGAAAGTTATTAATAAATTCAATAACCTTATATTTTTATTAACTTTGGTAAACTTTCTTCATGGTGAAGGTAACATTTTTTTTAGCTAAGGGTAGGAATAAAAAAAACTCTATAATTATAAACTTAAACAAATATATGAATATGACCCTAAAATAATATTGCTTAACATGCTTAATTTATGGGAATAAGCTAAATTGTATAGTACAACTGATTAAACTTTAAACTCTAAGAAATTTATAAATAAAACTCATAAAACTTTTTAAAGCAAATTACAGTTAAGAATATACTTAAACTATTTTAATTAATATTGCTTCGGTTTCCTGTGGCTGTGATGACTAAAGTTTTCTTCTTTTTTTTTTTTTTGACAAAGTATACCTAATTGATAATTTTTAATTTTAAATAATGGACACTCTCTTAATTGGCTAAATAAAAAAAAAGTAGAAAGACAAAGATCATAGAAAATCAAAAGTAAGTGACTTAAAACTTTTTTAAATTAAAATTTATTAGATATTCATCAACATAATTAATACCAGTTTCTCCTTTCCAATTTTTTTCAATAAAAAAAACTCCTCTATTACGATATAGATTTACATGTTAAAAGTTTTCAATGTTTTTTTTTTCACCAAAACTTTTTTTTTTTTGTAAAACCCAGAAAGAAATAAATTACATCTTAAACCCTCTAGGATAAGCAACTCCTCTGCTATCCACCTGTACTGCTTCCCTCACCTTCCACAGGCGCACCACACAAAACACATGATGCACTAGCAGCCATTCCCCAATTAAAGCGCAGACCATTCGTTACCAAACGACCACGCCAAGCAAGCCAAAGGAAAAAAATCCATCGTGAAGGGATGTTTAATTTCCACAACCAAGTCAGATAACCTGATAGATTAATACCAACCTCTTGCAGCAAATTCATATAGGCTGATGGTGTAGTAAACTTTCCATTAGCTGTACTAGCCCATACATGCGAGTCTTCCAACGCCATAACCCGCGGTAGTGGATAGCCAATAACTTGCATAGCGGTATCTAATGGTAGTTGGGCAAAAATAAGATCAGAATTCCACTGCCCATCCCCATCAATAAAATCACTTACCCGTGCTTCATTGTTCACATAAGGAGGAACCACAGCAAAACTCGTCACTATGGGTTTCTCAAGCCAAACATCTGTCCAAAAACAAACATTTGAACCCGAGTCAATGCGCCATTTCAACCCCCTAATTAGCTCCGAGAGAGCACCAAATAAGCCTCTCCACGAATAAGACCACAGGGGCTTACTCACATTAGTCTTGACAAAGCTAACAACATCATCCGGAATAGCATATTTAGATTTTAAAAGCCTTACCCAAAGACTATCCGGCTCCATTAAAAATCTCCAAGCCGTCTTTTGCAGTAGAACCCTATTATGAAACTCCATACTACGAAGGCCTAAACCCCCAAAGATTTTCGGCTTACACACCTCTTCCCAACGAACAAGATTAATTGTTCTCCTGTCTTCACTACCACCCCATAGAAAGCGGCGGTTCAAGCAATCCAACTTAGCAATAACACCTTGCGGGATCTTTGTAGTAAGCATTGAATAAGTGGGAATTGAACTAGTAACTGAGCTGACCAAAGTAGCTCGACCAGCCAAGCTTAAAAATTTACACTTCCATCCATTTAACCGATTACTCACCTTATCCACTAGTTCACGAAAAGTGCCTTTGACAACCCTTCCATGTATTAATGGCACACCAAGATACTTCCCCAAATCATCCGAGGCACTAATCCCCAGAGTCTCACTTACTTTTTGAGCATTCCGCCTAAACCTTGGGGTGGAATATAGAGCTTAAACTTATCAAGGCTAACTTTCGCACCCGAAGCATCACAGAAAGCATCCAACACTTGACGAATAACATTAGCTTGCTGCTCAGTTGCACGGCCAAAGAGAAATAAATCATCTGCAAAAAAGAGATGAGATATTGAAGGGCCTCCCCTTCCCATTACAATAGGCTTCCACGAACCATTTTGGACCTCATGTAAGATAAGATGTCCAAGTCGTTCCATACACAAGACAAACAAGTATGGAGAGATGGGATCGCCTTGACGAAGTCCCCTCCCAGGTTGAAAAAATTCAGTTTTCTCACCATTCCATAATACTGACATAGAAGCATTCTCCACGCAAAACATGATCAACTGAATCCAGCATGAAGGGAAGCCAAATGCCACCAATGTTTATCGCAAAAAAGCCCAACTAACACGATCATAAGCATTCTCCAAATCAATCTTGATGGCCATCAAACCATTCTTACTTTTGGATTTCTTAATAGTATGAATCATCTCCTGAGCAATAAAGATGTTATTAGCTGCTTGCCTACCATGAATAAAACTCGACTGAAGCGGACCAATCAAGTCACCTAGTAACGGTCTCAAACGATTCACCAGCACCTTTATAATCAACTTGTAAGCAACAGTACACAAACTGATAGGGCGAAATTGCTTTACATATTCCGGATTTCCGACATTCGGAATTAACACAATAAGTGTTTGGTTTAAATTCACATTAAAGGAACCCGTTCGAAATGCATCTTGAACTAGATCCAACAAATCTTGTCCAACTGACTCCCAACAATTCTGAAAGAACCCAGCTTGAAATCCATCAACACCAGGAGCTTTCCATGGCTTCATTTGAAAAAGAGCCGCTCGCACTTCACTTGGCGCTATATCATGAGTCAATTTACCTACATCTATTGGAGAAATAGTAGGCTGTAATAACGATTCCAATGCAACTCTCTCCCCCTCCTCGTTAGCATATAAACCCCGATAGAAATTGAGAACAAGAGTTTGGAGCGGGGCGTTTTCTGTGACCCATTTTCCATCATTATTACGTAGCATGGAAATTCTCTTCCTTCGCCGACGACAAATAGTAGATAAATGAAAGAATCTGGTATTTTTCTCCCCTTGTTGAAGCCACTGGACCCTAGAATTTTGAGCCCAAAAGGTTTCCTCCTGTTGTAAAATCTGATTATATTCTCGAAGCAAATCAGTCTCAAGCATTTGAAGTTGATGAGAATAGTGTAAAGATAAAGAGCATTGTAAGCCAGCAATACGAGCTCGTAGCTGCTTTTTACGCTCAAAGATATTTCCAAACTCATCTTTATTCCAAGCTTGAAGCAGCTCAGCCAGTTTCTCTCCTTTGCCACAAATATCTCCATCGAAATTGGCCCAAGCTGCATTAACCATCGGCAAGAATCCTTCATGAGATAGCCACATGGCGTGAAAACGAAACGGACGTTGAGATCTATCCATATATCCAGAGCCGACTCACAATAGAGCAAAATTGGACAATGATCCGAATGCAGGCGGGGTAAGTGTTGCACCATAGCATCAGGAAATAAAAGACGCCAATTAGCATTGGCCAAGACCCTATCCAGTCTCTCTTGAACACGAGCCAAACCTTTCCTCTTATTATACCAAGTAAAACTAGGACCATTGAAACCCAAATCAATTAAACCACAAGATAAAATCATACCATTAAAAGACAAACATCTACCAATTGACGGAGCTTGACCACAAAGCTTCTCACTGCTGTTCGCTACATCATTAAAATCCCCCATCACAACCCAAGGAACATCAACTGACTCAGAAAAATCCACCATCGAGGACCATAGCCGTCTACGAATCTCCAATATGGGACTAGCATAAACGATGGTTAAAAGAAACTTAGACATACCCGGCTTCTGAACAAAAGCATGAACCATTTGTGATGAAGAAAACACAACCTCCAAACTCAAGATAGATTCCTCCCAACATAACCAGATCCCTCCTGCAAAACCTTCTGGATCTGCTATATGAAATTTCGGCATCCTCAATTCTCGAAGCACTCTCCGAGCCGTAGCACCTGATACTCTTGGTTCTACAACCGCCATTATAGATGACTTATAAATATTTATCATGTCAATAACGTGGCGACGAAATTTCTTGTTTCCTGCTCCACGGCTATTCCACGCAATAAAATTCATTAAGAAATATTTGAGGTTCCTAGGCAATTCTCCCTAGGCTGAGATTGATCCATAACACTATCCTCATTAAGCAAACCTTGCTGTACACCCTCTTCCACTTGCATATCAGCAACTTGAACTTGTGACTCAGGAACAAAAGTGCCAAGAAAATACTTATCAGACGGGTTCCAAAGTCGAATATCTAGACTCGAAACCCTACATCCAATTCTGGTGAGTGAAAAGTATCCTCCATCGCATCATCATGAGTAAGCTCTGCAAAATCACTATTCTCTCCAACCCTTGCAGGGGATGTTCTCACAACTTTTTCTATCACCGCATTGACTCTCAAAGAACTTTGATGCACAGAAGATCTAATAGCTTCAACCTCTTTAAAACCCACTGCTTTATTAGAATCCACTGCCTTCTTATTAACATTGCTCGGCCCAACATTAATAGTTTTCCTTGGTAGCTTCTGGGCCTTGTTAACCCCAGCCTTAGGCCCTGCAGATGTACCACTAGCCTTATAAACACCCTGAGCCCAAGCCTCAACTTCCTGTTCTCTCTCCCCATAGTCATTATCATTTTCCAAATTCAAATCTTCTCATTCCTCGGCAAGTGCCGTGAATCGGGAACCTACCCTATCATCCTTCCCCGAGTTTAAGGGGACCCGAGATTTGGGGATGTGATTAACATTCCTCCTAGGTTTACGTGATTGTGCAATCATCCATGGCCCAAAATCTCCTGTGGGTGGGTTCACCGTAGGCTCACGTTGTGCACCACCACCAACAATGTTCCCTTGCTGTAGACTACCATCATTGGTGACACCCTGCTGCTTCACCCCATTCTCCACCGGATTAACATTTGACTCATCAACCTGAGGGCAAAAAGCACAAGGGCCTCGCAAGCCAACTCTGCCACATTTGAAACATATAAGCTTCAAGCCTTCATATTCCACCGGCAGCCATCGATCCTAAAAAAAAACCTTCGGCACCAAAGGCTTACTGAACTCCACTTCGACGCAAACCCGAGCAAACCTCCCTCTGGAGGCATACTTTGTAGTTGTATCCACTTTGATAGCCTTGCCAAGAGTATTACCCATTGCCATAAGGAGTCTTGGTTTAAAATATTCAATAGGCAAACTCGGAAATCGAACCCAAACTGCAGTGGACTCGATAGTTGCAGAAAGCGGGTGAAATCTGGTTGCCAACGGCGCATCGTCAGATAATGCCCAAAAACAGTCCAAGGCCCTTCATCCATAACATACCTCAAATCTTCCAGAGAAGAGAATTTCGCAATACAGAAGCCATGTCCTACATCAATGAGGTCCCAATCCCCTTTAGGACACCACAACTTGTGTAATCGGTCACAAAGCACATTATAAGAGATGTTTCTGCCCAACGGCTTCACAATAAGGCAGTCCTCCCATTGACGGCGGATCTGAGCCTTGAAGTTCTCTGAGAGGGAAATCAAGGGCCAGCCATCTCTTTCCGCAATATGAATCAATCCCTCATCAGACTCTAGAGAGCCAAACTCATCATAACCAGCCCCAGGAGACGGGATCCCTCTACCACCCATCATCGCATCCTTGAAAGAAAGCATAGGTTGTGCTTGCCCATCCGCCGGCCCAGCTGCCGCTTTCACCTTTTTGGTGCTTAGTTCTAGTTGGTCATCTTCCTCACCCGATCGCCCTCGAAATTCCATTCGTTCCAATCTAGAAAGTTTTTAGCTTTCATTCACCAAAACTTTTGAAATGTATAATACTGATATTTTCTGAAGTCATGTTTCGTTAGGTGTATATTTTACTCCATTTATTTAATATCCAAAGCTTATTTAATGTTCATGTAAAGTTGTTTTCCACTTCTATGAAAATTTACATTAGAGGTAATTACGGATTACCAATTTTTTTTTCTTTTATTAAAGTTAAAAAATAATAATTCCCCACCAATTAAAATTTAAAAGTTAAAATTTAAATAAAAGTTTAAGAAGAAGTAAATTACTTATTAACCATTAAAACTTAACAGGTTTTGATGAAATAAAAATGCATGTTTACCCTTTAAAGAAATACTAAAATTTTAAAATTAAAAGGGTAATTTAGATATTTCAGGTCAAGGTTTTTGAAGTTTAGACTTAACCTTATTACATTCTTAGTATTTTTAGTTATCAAATTTCTTATTTATGTTTAATAAAAAAGCTAAACTATAGTATTATTAAATTCACAAAAGTTATAATGGATAATTGAAGAGATATTATAAGAAAATTTATTGAGCTTAATTTATTCACACATGGATGGATGGTTAGTTAAAATCGTTATAGATATAGGATTTCAATTTTATTATTTTATTGTACATGTATATGAAGTAATATATTCTTTATTCTGTTGATCTTTCACGAAAATTTTACACAACTGTTATTGTTGTCATTTTAATCTCATAACACAATGCCTAGTTTCATCATTTCAATTAATATCCCAAAACAAATCTTACAATTCAACCAATCACACTAAATTAACGTGTGTAAAAGTATTGACTTGAAAATAATATTTTTTAATTATTAATTCATTAGTCCTTTTTGTTTTGCGATCGAGAAATTGAATTTATATACTATATATGAATATCTTTGACATGTTGAATCAAACCTGAATTTGGTTTTTCTTACTACACTACAATTTTATGCATATTAATGAATGAAATAAAGTGATTTAAGCTAATAGACCAAAATAAAAGTAGTGAATGAATAATATATTAATTTTAAAAAAATCAAAAGTTTTAATAATTAAATTTTATTGTTTCTGTTACTGTTTCAAGAATTATTATTATCCCAACAATCAAGCAAGTCTCACTGCTTAATACTAATCATTATGAAACTTGGAACTAATTTTCTCCTAGATACAGAGATTCACGTTAACAAATTTTTAGCTTCTTCCTTTTTTCATAGGTTCTTCCCTCTCATGTTCATAGTTATGTACCAAAAAAAAAAATGATTTTCAATAGAAAAAGTCTTTTAGGTAGAATTAAAACCATGACACTTTAAAATATTCGAAAAAAATTAAATACTTATTAACGTTAATTCAATACCAAATATTATGAGATTCGAGCGAATCATAACACTAATCAAAATGGTTTTTGGATTTTTTATTTATGGGGTTTGTAAAAAGGGTCGTCCACATTCTAAGATAAAAAATCATATTTATAAAATTTTTAATTAATTCTTCAGCATTCTTTTTTGCTTTTTTTATATGAAAATATTCATTTTTAATCATGTATCATCTTTGAATTTTACTTTATTATACAAATAAAATAAATTTTCGAGATCTGGTAGAAAAATGAAAAAACGACTTGATTTGCCTAGAATTATAACCATGTCACTTTAAATACTTCAAATTATTGGGAAAAACATTAAATACTCAACTTCGAAATAGTCTTAATTATCTAAGAATAGATGAAGGAAAAAATGTACAAAAAAGATAAGAAAAAACGTAATGATAATATAACAAATAATATTTTTTTTGAATTAGAACTAATAATAATTTTTACTACTACCAATAAATAAATATTTTAAATAAATAGATAAATTAGTACGTAGCAGTAGTTAAAATTAAAAAAAAAGGAAAAGTGAATGGCGTGGGATTGGAAGAGTTTGATGAAATTCAAAATATTTTTTCGACAAAAAGAAGTTTATAACTAATACTACTACTAATTATTTTATTATAATAATAAGAAGTTTAATATAATTATAACAAGGCAAATTATACAATACACCGGCGGTGAAGTTTAGAAAACTACACAAGCGGGTCCTAAAGGGTGACATGTGTCCCTTAGGGACTAGATTGAAATATTTAAAACTTAATTAATTCAAAAAATGGACATGTGTCAACTCCACAAGCCGCTTGTGGAGTCCAAAATTTACACCGTCGGTGTATTATATAATCACCCTAACAATAAGATGATTAACGGGATTTAAAATTGCATTAATTTTAAAATTAAAAGAGATAGTATTAGATTACATATTAATCCTTAAAATTATAGCTAAAATTTTAAAACTAAAAAGGGTATTTTAGATATTTCAGTTCAAGATTTTTGAAGTTTAAACTTATATAATATAAAGATAAAGATAAAGATAAAGATAAAGATATAGATGGAAAAT